CGTACGAGAATGCGATGCGTAACATGACCTGTCAAGATCTGTCTGCTAAACATCAACTTAAACCTGTCGCGCCTGAAGTGGGGTGCAACGATGTGGTGTGTCGGTCTATTTGGATAGATGTGTGTGTGTGTGTGTGTGTGTGTGTGGTGTGTGTGTGTGGTGTGTGTGTGTGTGTGTGTGTGTGTGTGTGTGTGTGATGTGTGTGTGTGTGTACCTCAGTGTGTGTGTGTGTGTGTGTGTGTGTGTGTGTGTGTGTGTGTCACAGTCACAGCCACAGAGGCATGCTTCTCATTAAATTCAGTCATTATAAGGGTCAAAGTAAATTACTCCGACCGGCATATTGTAAATTAGGCGTTGTTTTTAACACATTGTTACTGCCCTCACTCAACACTCATTTTATTTTATTGATTTAGAAACGGTATGTAAATCAGGAAAAATGTATTATATTACTTTACAAAACAGTCTTACCAAATGCAGCTCCAAAATGATTTTCTCTCCTCTTGTCTGCAGCCTGTACTATCCTGATCACAGAGTGGAGGACAAAATACAGAAGAGAGATGAACGATCAAGACAACAACTCCAAATCCAGAGCTGTAGACTCCCTGCTGAACTTTGAGACGGTAAATAACGCCCAACACTTCCTGCTAAATGCATATATTTATACTGGTATGTTCAGGTGTGTGTCACAACTGGTCTTTCTATTTTCCCAACATTTTAAAGGGTTTAATAACATGTGTTTAGATATTTGAGTATCAGTCAATTCCATCCAATTAATCTCTTTCTCTGTTGATTTGATTTATTTTCCCAGGTGAAGTATTACTGCGCTGAGGATTATGAAATCCGCTGCTTTGAGGAAGCCATTTTGAAGTATCAGGTAAGCTTGTGCTACCGTCAAGTGAACATCATCTGTCACCAAAAAACAGCTCAAAGCAAATAGACATCCCATTAGTGTGCTAATAAAAGTGGAAAGCTTTAGTTAGTAAAGATTTAAATACACTTCCAATGTTTAAAGTGGACCTATCATGCTATATTTGAAACATATATTGTAGGGCCATACCTATATAAAACATGTATGTGAAGTTTTTTTCCAAAATACCAAACAGATCATGCATTTTAGCCATGCCTCATTTCCCTCTATTTGCTCTTTTCCAGCCCTGTTTTTGCAAGGGCTGATTCTGCTTTTGTGGCAGACTACAGCGCCACTTACAGGCCTGGCATATGTACTACAGCGTCTCCAGCGCTTTCGAGCGGTCTCTCATTCCCCTGATAGGTGGAGAGTTGCCCATATAGGCGGAGCACCCCTTTTCTGACGTCAAAAAAATTAAAATAACAATCAGCTCCATTGCAGCCCCGTTTTTAGAGATTTTGGTATGGAGGAAAAGAGAGAGGGTTGTGTTTTCTGACACTTGGTGAGTTCCCTGACACACCGGGGACACATATTCATGTGTAAAAGACGTACAAAAGTGCATTTTGCATGATAGGTCCCCTTTAAGTGAATTGCCTGTATTTTCTCATTATCAGTTAAATGTGTGTGTTTGGCAGCACTGTGAGTGGAAGAGCTCAGCCTCCCTGGCTCTGCTGAATCAAACCCAGAACGTCATCATCGGATCGGGACTGCTGGTTGGATCTCTGCTCTGTGCCTACCTCGTCTCTAAAGGACAATTCCAGGTATTTGTAAAAGATGATATCACTGAATGTGGATTCAGTGACTCAGACATCTCCTGAATCAGCCAGACAGTAGGAGACATAGCAAATGCTTACTGTACCTCAATAACTCAGTCCTTGGTGAGAGTTTTCTCCGAACAACCTTATAAAACAATATTAAAATATTTTGTTCTCAGCTTGTTCTGATGCTGAGCAATGTGGTAAAAGTGTGAGTGGTGCTCGAGGCAGGTTAATTGATTCGGCTGACGTACACTAAACTTGTATCAATTACACAGGATCAGTAATGTTCAGTATGTGTTTGACTCCCGATCAGATTGGAGACTATGTTCTCTTTGGCACCTACATCATCCAGCTGTACACGCCTCTGAACTGGTTTGGGACCTATTACAGGTGAGGTTAATGTTGAGTATTATCACTGACAGCCGAGTATTTACATTTCTAAACCTATGACAGGAGGCATTTATTAAAATAAAGATAGACGTTGAAATTGTTTGTGTATGTATTTGTGTGACAGTTGTCAGTCAATATGGCAGATAGGGTTTAAATGTAATAGCTATAAAATACAGTATACCAATATTCTGCAAGTAAAACTAGTACGACTACTTCTCCTTTGAGTATTTTAGTATTTAGTATTTGAGTATTTGTATCTTTTGAGTATTTTATTGAGTATATTTTGTATACCCCTGGTTGTGTTTTGTGTTTCTCTGCAGGCTCATTCAGAGTTCCTTTGTTGACATGGAGAACATGCTGGCGCTGCTGACAGAGCACGTAGAGGTGAGTCACAAAGAACATAAATAGTCTGTACAACTTTGCATGTATTTCTTTGTTTTGTTGAATTCATATTAAACCATTAGAAAAAGCCCATTATTGGTGTATTAAATTATATAAAGTGTCAACACTGATTTATGAGTAAATTCTCTTATTAGACATGATGGAAGCCTTTTATCCGTTTGTTTTGTGTTGGTGCTTAGTCAAATTAATTATATCTTAATTCCTTGTTGTTGTTTTTGATGAATTGAAAAATAAATAATACATCTTTGAGACATTTATTATTTTTCGTTTGCAAATGCAGTAAATAGTTTAAAAATAAACATTCAAATGGTTTCTCTTGTTTAGCAGAAAGCACTCAAATGTATTAATTTCAAATCAGAAAAATAACTTTAGAAAAATATGTGTACAATATACATATAAATGAAATATAATAAATAATGTATTATTGTTAGCTGGGGGATAAAACTGAAATCGTATAAAGTGTTTATTTCTAATGGCCCGTTGTTGGAAAATAAATCTCACACAGTCAGAGGTCAGCGGATTATGAGATCAACAAGTGTTTGTGTTTGACTTTGTGTGTGTTTGTGCGCATACTGCGTGTACGTCTGTGTGTGTGTGTACGTCTGGCTTTATGAGTGTGTGTTTGGTGGGAAAAGGCGTCCTCCGGCTGCCTCACTAAAGACTCCTACATTCACAGGCCCTTGATATGGTAAACAGCCACATGAATGTAGACAAAAGCATTAGAGCACCTTAAAAACACAGCGGCTCTTTTCTTTGGCTTGGGAAGAAGGAGGAGGAGCAGCGGGGTCGCAAAGATCTGATGGGGATGTTTTGTCAAAAACGCTATCAAACTTGGTTTAGGGAATATTAAAGATTACATATCAGTTCGTGCATATATACTGGGATGAAGATTCAAGGACATCTGGAGAATGAAAGAAGGAGTTATTATGAAATAAGAGAGGAGGGAGCAAGTGAGAAAGGAGGGGGAAATACAAGAACAGAGAACTACGGGGTGACTTTATTGTGTATAAACAGTCTCACTTTCTCCTCGTCATTTTGCTTCTTTCTTTTCCATCATTCTTATCTCCTTCTTTTCTTCCATCTTTCTTTGTCTTTTCTCCCTTTTTCTCCTTCTTCTTCTTCTTCAATTGTTCTCTCATCCTTTCCCATACAGCGAAAAAATGCAATTAATTAAAAAACGAATTGGTGTTCCTTGTCATTCTTACACTGGTTTCCCTCTCTCCTCCTCCTCCTCCTCCTCTTCCTCCTCCTCCTCTTCCTCTCTCTCCACCCCCTCCTCCTCCTCCTCTTCCTCTCTCTCCACCCCTTCCTCCTCTTCCTCCTCCTCCCCCTCCTCACAGATTCAGGATGCTGAGGATGCTGAGGACTTGCAGCTCACAGCAGGTCAGGTGGAGTTTGACAGAGTCTGTTTCAGCTACGTACCTGGGTGTGTAGCCATCAACCAATCTGAATCAAATCCACTTCTGTATACCTCGATCTTACTTTATCCAATTGTACATTAAAGAAAAGAGAGATTGTCCTCACCAGAGAAACAATGGCATTGGTAACTTAGTCAAACACTTGTTATCACCACCTGCTGTCCGGAGGATGACTAAGAACAGTCTCCGAAACATATTGACTTGTATTAATGAATGTCTAATTGACCTCGTGTTAACGCTGAAGCATATTTACAGTATTACGTGGGATGACAAGAAAGAAAAGATCCAGGGAATAATCATATCTGCTTTTTACATTGAATCTCAATAAATTGACCTTCTGTAACTTTCATTTTCCAGACGTTCATGGTCATGCTTGATTATTCTTTGACCCATGAGATCAAAGTGTAGTTTATTTTGATCCTGAATGTTGCTTTTCTTTGTGTTTGCAGCACTGAGATTCTTAGGGATGTTTCCTTTACGGTGGAGGCGGGACAGACAGTTGCCTTGGTATGTAGTCCTCTGTTGACAGTATTCCATCGTCTATAAAGTTTAATTTCCTTGCTCACTGTAACCAAATCTCTAAATAACTTGTCGTCTCATTTACAGTACGTTTATGGGTGTCTGGCAGTGGCGGGCGTAGAATTTAAGCCTTTCAATTAAATACAAGTAGTAATGCCAGTGTTAATACAAGTATAATTCCTTCTAACTGTGTGTGTGTGTGTGTGTGTGTGTGTGTGTGTGTGTGTGTGTGTGTGTGTGTGTGTGTGTGTGTGTGTGTGTGTGTGTGTGTGTGTGTGTGTGTGTGTGCAGGTTGGCCCCTCTGGATCAGGGAAAAGCTCCATCCTGCGTCTGCTGTTCAGATTTTATGACCTTCAGAGTGGCAGCATTCGCATCGACGGGCAAGACATCTCCAAGGTAAACACACACATAAGCATGAAACACTTCAGAGGTGACTGTATGCAGATTCTTTCTGGACCGAGCCAGGTCAGCAGTTTCCCCTTGTTTCTTGTCTTTGTGATAAGCTAAGCAAAGACAACATCAACTAATTCCCTGCTGGCATTAACCCCATATTAATGCAAAGATGTGAAAGTGGTATTGATTTTCTTGTGTTATTCTTGGCAAGTAAGTGAATCCATATGTATCCTTTTAATACTAAATTAAACGCCTATTTGCAAAAAGGCTTTTCTAACACCACAAAAAAAAAAAAGAATATCTTTGTCTTTTTCAGTAGACATATGCCTTTCGGATATTTCTCTTTCTTTCAATTTCACAAAGGCACTGGGAGCAGGGTCAGTAAACACTGGTTACCCATGTTTTTAAATGATACTTATCCAGTGTCTGTAATTATCTGTTTAACCGGAGTTGGTGATTTTTCCATGATTTTATTTGGTTTGTGTTGAGTTGAAATGAAGGGGGGGGTTTAAACTGATGTGCGATGTAACATTACTGTTGTCTGACTGGAGTCCCGTGGCTTTGATCATGTGTAAGTGAACAAGTTATGATACATGTCTAAATCCTTTTTGACTACAACAAGCGTCATGACATCCCGCAGGCAAACATAAAGCAGAAATAAGCACCTGTGATGACTGCAGAGGGAATAGATATCATTGAAACGCTCCCCACTAAAGACAAAAGCCAGATGTTAGTGGGTGTTGGTGGGTTTATTGTCCAGTGGGAAAGAGGCTGTGTTTTATAATTTGTCAAATATTTCTTTAAACTGCAGCCAGAGTCGCACCCATATTTATAATCGGTTGTGATGTTTTTTTATTGGCTTTCTATCTATTAGAATGTTGTGTTTGTTTCCGTTACACTGTCTCTTTTCCTATCAGTCATTCCTCTTGTTTCTGTCTCTCACTCTTTATTTCTGTTTCCTGCCTTTGCCTCACGCACCTTGACATCCACTTTCCCTCCTCTCTCTCTCTCACTCTCTCTCTCTCTCTTCTCTCTCTCTCTCTCACTCTCACTCTCTCTCTCTCTCTCCACAAACACACACATACATACACACACATACACATCTGGGCTGAGTGTGTGAACTCCAGTCACACTGTGAATAAATCATAGTAAAAGGTTCCTGAATAATGCAGCAAAGACGCCAGACGCTGTGTGTGTGTGTGTGTGTGTGTGTGTGTTATCTATCATCAGATGTTTGTATCCCATGAAGTCTTAATAACCTGTGTGTGTGTTTGTAATAAAAAAAAAAACATTTATAGCCAATGTTTTTTTTTTTATTACAAACACACACACAGGTTATTAAGACTTCATGGGATACAAACATCTGATGATAGATAACACACACACACACACAACACACACACACACACACACACACACACACACACACACACACACACACACACACACACACACACACACACACACACACACACACACACACACACACAGCGTCTGGTGTCTTTGCTGCATTATTCAGGAACCTTTTACTATGATTTAT